ACATACTAGAAAGTGAAGAGACGACGACGTTTCGTTCGTCAAAGCTATGGACGTATAAGGGGAGCCGGTCGGCCGAGCGGACAGCACGCTGGGCTTGTGATCCTGTGGTCCTGGGTTCGATCCCAGGCGCCGGCGAGAAACAATGGGCAGAGTTTCTTTCACCCTATGCCCCTCGCCTACTGGCCGCGCTCCACCACCTTAAGTTCTACAACTTGTAGTTGTTGTTATAGATTCAGCTACTCGAAACATGTTCCAAGTAGCACGGACTATGGTGAGCCCGTAGTGGACTTACCTGGCACAGGAGCGGGGCTGTAACTGTACAGCTTATATCGGCTGGATCCTATACACAAACACCTTCGGACTTGACACATCTACCCCACGCGGTCGTTATCAGATAATGTGTTACATTAAACACGTTTCGTGCAATCAGAAGGCGTTCCAGTCATAAAGCAGAGATATTCTGTTTCTCCACCTGAGCCGGGATCGTGAATTATGGAGGCAGGTAGGCGCGCTCCCACCCTGGGCGGAGTATTGCCTACCACACTGGTTGTTGTTGTTTAAGATTCAGCTACTGGTAACTAAAAGTTCCAAGTAGCACGGGCTATGGTGAGCCCGTGATGGACATACCTGGCACAGGAGCGGGGCTGTAACTTGACCACAGTGGTGGTATGAGCTACTTTAGTATTGCCTGGTGATCAATTGGGGACGACACAAGCCTATCTTGGCTCTTACCACCACTGTGGTACATCAACTAGTTTTCTTCAAAATATTATTGGAATATACAGCAGATAAGAGCGAGGTGTTTTGAACTGGGGAGAATACACAGAAAAGCTATTCTTAAGAAGTCAAGAAGTAGAGAAGAAGAAGAATGAGACACGAGGAATGATGGAGAGTGCGAAGGTCGGTATAATTAGCCGGTAGTATGATGTAACAACACACTGCAATTACGAAATGCAGAGCACACATCATACCTTGAGGTTACCTTGAGGTGCTTCCGGGGCTTAGCGTCCCCGCGGACCGGTCGTCTACCAGGCCTCCTGGTTGCTGGACTGATCAACCAGGCTGTTGGACGCGGCTGCTCGCAGCCTGACGTATGAGTCGCAGCCTCATACTTGCTATCAGCCCACCACCTGCATCTATCCTATACTATCTCATCACCACCCCGAGCACCCAACTGTGAGTGATGGCTGTAGGCTGAGGTCATACACATGCTCCTCACATATATGACTATAGAGAAGGGCCGTAATTTTCATCGTAACCCCCCCCCCCCTCCCCCTTTCAGCCTAGACATGTATCATGCTAAAATCTTGCTGGTCTTGTCTTGAATAATCGAAATCCTGTTTCCTCCACGACTAGACACTTAGTGCACTCGCTCTGCTACCTTAGACTTTTCCCTTTGTCGATCTACTCTCCAACGACGGTCTCGCTTCATGCAGGTCGGCGTTCAATCCCCGACTCTCCAAGTGGTTGGACATTTCCGTTCCCACATCCCCGTCCCATCCCAAAAATCCTTATCCTGACTCCCTTCCAAGTGTTATATAGTCGTAATGGCTTGGCGCTTTCCCTTAACAAAACCCCTTGTGTGTGTTTACCTGTTGATGATCGAGGGTTCTTCTACTCTCGCGGCCTGGCCTGTGGCCAGCCTCGTGATTGCCTGATCTGATAGGCTGTTTGTGTCCGTGGTCAAAGGTAAACTTATTCTGCTTCTAATCTCATCTATTTTACTCCTTCCGCCGTGACAGAAGGTCGCAAGTGACCCCTCCTCCCATCTTCCCCTCCCCACCTCCATCTTCAGTGACGCAATACGGATGTATTAGCGTTTTCACCTTGGCCTTGTACCCAGCGCACGTGTGTGTATCCTAGCATACTGCTAGAGCTTCACCTTTGGCTGCTCCAACACGCCTGGGGCCTCACCCGTGTTCCCAGCACACCCAGGCTAGAGGCTCGCACCTTTCCTGTCCCTGTGGTTGCTTCAACCTCCTTGTTAAGCATATCGAGCAAATCCACAAGGGCCGTGACGAGGATTCGAACCTGCGTCCGGGAGCATCCCAGACACTCTTAATCGACTGAGCTACGACAGGGTAAAAGGGTTGAAACCGAAGTTCTACTGAACTTACTGTATCCCGTAGCCTCTCCGAGGCATATCGAGGTCTCCCTTGGCCAGCTACTGCTCACCTTCCCCATCCCACAACAGTTGGCTAACTCCTGGGTACCAATTTACTAAGTGAACAGAGGCATCGGGTAAAGTGACACGTGCACAGCCGTGTATGTCAGGCCCAGAGATCAAACCCGGGGATCCTTGGTTGAGAGTGGAGGACGCAGCCCACTGCGCTGTGGGAGGGAATGGCTTGGAAACCTGTCATTTGGGAGTGCGTGTCTCCCTGGACTTTTACGGCGTGTAACGACGGCGTCCTGTGGTTTGTCACTGGTGATTCAGCACCCCCTCCCCCCCCCCTACCTTCCTGAAGCTAGTTGCTGGCCTCACAAGCATCCTCTACAAACCTCAAACCTCACTAACTTTGCATCCCACTGTGAACTGATCGATGTGGTGATGGGACAGGTGTGTGATCAGTATCGCCAGGACTCCACAGAGGTACACCTGCAGAGCGAAGTACTTGTAGCAAGGTGTACACACACACACTGGGAAAACACACGTGTCTACATTATAATTTCCCCCGTCATTGTGTGTGTGCGCCGAGTCACACAAGAATGCATTATATCGCCAGCACACAACGTCAGCACAATGGGTCAAGAAGGAGAGTCGAGAGAGAGAGAGAAACAAGTGCGGGCTAATAACATAATCTCTACAAACTACATTTACTTTAAACATTATTTATAGCTCTTATCATCGAGCAGGCGCCCTCGTGTCTGCCACAACACGGAGGAATTTACACTACACCACGAAGGAAAGACTGGTGCAAAGATCGGTTATCACACACTATGGCCACACATGGGACTGTCCACACGTGGGACTGTCCACACATGGGACTGTCCACACACGTGACTGTCCACACACGTGACTGTCCACACATGGGACGGCTTTCCCTGCCAACCTACCTCTTCTCTCCCCCCCCCCCACCATCACCCTCTATCTCGAATACTTTATGAATAAACTACTGTAACAAAAAATATTTAAACATCTACACCAGCATATTCTCCCCCCCCCCTCCCCTCCCCTCCCCGCCCCCCCCCACTCAGACACTTGAGAACCACATTAAATTGCAACACCGCTCACAGTCATTTTATTCAATGTAATAATTTTTTTGTTTTGCGTCATCACTGTCTTTAAAAAACCACACATTTTCCACAATTCTTACTTTTACAAGCAAAGGAGAATCAGTTCGAGGTTGTTTGAGACCTAAACCTGGTCAGATAATGCATATTTAGATACATATGTATGTATCCTCCCCCCTCCCCATTATCACCAGCGATAAAACCCTTATACTGTAAACAAATCCACAAGGACTGTGACGAAGGTGAGAAACAATGGGCAGAGTTTCTTTCACCCTATGCCCCTGTTACCTAGTAGTAAAATAGGTACCTGGGTGTTAGTCAGCTGTCACGGGCTGCTTCCTGGGGGTGGAGGCCTGGTCGAGGACCGGGCCGCGGGGACACTAAAAAAAAAAGCCCCGCTCATCCCGCAGGTTGCGGGATGAGCCCGGTCCTCAACCAGGCCTCCACCCCTAGGAAGCAGCCTGTGACAGCTGACTAACACCCAGGTACCTATTTTACTGCTAGGTAACAGGGGCATAGAGTGAAAGAAACTCTGCCCATTGTTTCTCGCCGGCGCCCGGGATCGAACCCGGGACCACAGGATTGCAAGTCCAGCGTGCTGTCCGCTCGGCCGACCGGCTCCACAAGAGAGGAGAGGTACAAGAGAGGAGGCTCTCTTGTACTATTCTTGGACTAAGTTGTGATGGGCGTTGCTCTTGTAATGGGTGGTTGTGGTGATGGATGGTAGTGGTGTAGTGGTGGGTGGTAGTGTAGTAGTGATGGGTGGTAGGGCTGTAGTGATGGGTGGTAGTGGTGTAGTGATGGGTGGTAGGGCTGTAGTGATGGGTGGTAGGGCTGTAGTGATGGGTGGTAGTGGTGTAGTGGTGGGTGGTAGTGGTGTGGTGGTGGGTGGTAGGGCTGTAGTGATGGGTGGTAGTGGTGTAGTGGTGGGTGGTAGTGGTGTAGTGGTGGGTGGTAGGGCTGTAGTGATGGGTGGTAGTGGTGTAGTGGTGGGTGGTAGTGGTGTAGTGGTGGGTGGTAGTGTAGTAGTGATGGGTGGTAGTGTTGTAGTGATGGGTGGTAGGGAAGGGGAGGTAACAGAGCACCTGTCATGAGGCTGGGAACATGTGCACCAGCAGTGTGCTCACACTCACATGCTTGGCGTCATTTCACAGTGTTCCAGTAGGTTGTTTTTGATGTCCCAAACTGTAGTCAGTGTATAATGGGGGGTTTGTGTTGTGTTCTTCTAATTAATTATACTTGTTGAACATTTATAACTCGGTCATTCTATATTTATTCAATTAAATTTCATTCAATTTCAATATAAATACATTTGTTAAAAGCGCAATTTATTTATTTTTTTAATTTACACAATTGTTACATTATTCTTTCATAGATGAGTCACGTTATTGTGAGCAGTGAGTTGAGTTTGAGTTATATTTTATCAGTATGTTGACCAGCCCACACACTAGAAGGTGAAGGGACGACGACGTTTCGGTCCGTCCTGGACCACTATCAAGTCGATTGTGAGAATGGTCCAGGACGGACCGAAACGTCGTCGTCCCTTCACCTTCTAGTGTGTGGTCTGGTCAACATACTTCAGCCACGTTATTGTGACTCCTCGCATATATTTTATCACAATTGTGTTTGTGAGAAAAGATTTATATTGAACTTTGTTTGCAATGCATTGAATACATACAGGAAATAAATTAGGTGTATGAAGGCATTCCTTTGGCCTTGATAATTGTGTGAGAGTTAACGTTGAGTTTGTGGGGCTGTGTCCACAGTGTGCTGTCCGTGCCGGAGATCAGCCAGTACGTGGAGGGAGCATGGCGACGCCTGCGGGAGAACTACACCTGGCTCCTGCACCTGCGGCGTGTCCAGCCCGCACTCGTGAGTAACAAACACTCTTGTCTCTACTGTCACTCACTCTCTCCTCCTCCCCCCTCTCTGTCTCTCTCTCTCTCTCTCTCTCTCTCTCTCTCTCTCTCTCTCTCTCTCTCTCTCTCTCTCTCTCTCTCTCTCTCTCTCTCTCTCTCTCTCTGTCTCTCCTCTCTCCCTCTCTCCCTCTCTCTCTCTCTCTCTGTCTCTCCTCTCTCCCTCTCTCTCTGTCTCTCCCTCTCTCTCTGTCTCTCCTCTCTCCTTCTCTCCCTCTCCTCTCTGTCTCTCCTATCTCCTTCTCTCCCTCTCTCTCTGTCTCTCCTCTCTCTCTCTCTCTCTCTCTCTCTCTCTCTCTCTCTCTCTCTCTCTCTCTCTCTCTCTCTCTCTCTCTCTATTTTGGCATGTGCCGCCGTTCATTTGTTTATCTTCGCCACGTGGACCACTTTCACATATGGCGAATGATGTTTGTTTACACTGACCACGTGCTCTTTGTTGACATACAGAACCTGTCTTATTTTTTTATCTTCACCACGGAAGCCACTTTCATATATGGCGAATGGTGATTGTTTACATTGACCACGTGCTCTTTGTTGACATGCAGAAACCCCTCTTCTTTTTTTTCGTTGATCATGTGCTCTTTGTTTGAATTCGATGGGGGCATTGAAACCTGCTTGGCGGCATATATTTGTGTGCATATACAACAGACAGCATGGAGTTTGCCGCAAAATAATGATTGAGCCATAGATAAAAAAAAGTAAGATATAAAGGTAATCGAGATATTACATAACGCTGTAACATGCTCCTCCATATTGTTGTTGTTGTTTAAGATTCAGCTATTGGGAACAAAAAGTTCCAAGTAGCACGGGCTATGGTGAGCCCGTAGTGGACTTACCTGGCACAGGAGCGGGGCTGTAACTTGACTCCCTCCACCTGTATTAACCCCACCTTTTATTTTGATATTTCGCGCCCTGCACCTGACTCCACCCCCTCGTGTAACATGTTGGTCCAGGTATTGGGTCGAATAAACACAGCACATTGTCATTGACTTTGTTACGGGCTCACCATAGCCCGTGCTACATGGACACTTCGTTCTGAGTATCTTGAGGTTATCTTGAGATGATTTCGGGGCTTTTTTTTTTGTTTAGTGTCCCCGCGGCCCGGTCCTCGACCAGGCCTCCACCCCCAGGAAGCAGCCCGTGACAACTGACTAACACCCAGGTACCTATTTTTACTGCTAGGTAACAGGGGCATAGGATGAAAGAAACTGCCCATTGTTTCTCGCCGGCGCCTGGGATCGAACCCAGGACCACAGGATCACAAGTCCAGTGTGCTGTCCACTCGAAGTCACAGTGAGAGGTTGTGTTAACCGGAGCTCCTGAGTGTTGTTATATTATCATAGCAATATGGAAGTTGTAGTGAAGGACCTGGTGACTCTAGTGGGAGCCCTGAGGACAGAGTTGGACTCTCTGCGGGAGGAGGTGCGTCAGCTTAAAAAACAACGAGAAGTAACGGAGGAGGAGACCAGCAGTAAAGGGACCTCGTCTTGGAGAGTTGCGAAAGACAGGGGCCTTAAGAAGACTTTGATAAAGCCGCCTTCAAACGCCATAGCAACTTCAAATTCATTTGACGTTTTGGAGGACGAGTGCTGTGGAGAGACTGTGGATCGCGCAAAAGGGAAAGCAACGAAGAGAAAGGAAGCGCAGGCCCCTCAGAAAGTAAAGGAAGTACCTAAGCAAACATTAGTTGTGGGAGATTCCCAGATAAGGTATTTGGATAGAACGTTTTGTGCTAGAGATAGGGGGAACAGGTTAAGGGTTTGCTATCCCGGAGCTGGCATTGGTGATATTATAAACAACATGAATGATATTATGGCTGGTAATGGGAACAATCCCATTATTTGCATTAGCGTGGGAGGAAATGATGTTGGTCGAGTCAGGAGTGAGGAACTGATTCAGAGGTATAAAACAGCCATAGAGTTAGTTAGGAGCAAGGGAGGAATCCCGATCATATGTGGCATTCTTCCAAGAAAGGGAGTGGGAAATGAATGGATATCGAGGGCACTTGGTGTCAATTGCCGGCTGGAAAGATATTGCAAATCAAATGCAATATCTTTCATAGACAACTGGGAACACTTCTATGGAAGAAATGAAATGTATGCTCGTGATGGGGTGCATCTATCGAGAGCTGGGGTTGTTGCTGTTGCGAACTCGCTAGAAGAAGTGGTTAGAGGTGTTTGTTTGGGTTTAAACTGTTAGTAGATAGAGGTATGGGAATTGATTTGGAGGAAGGAGGTAATAAAAGTATGTGTTTGTGGGAGAAAGGAATTGGCAAAACGATCAGGGAAAGAGAAGGTCCGCAAAATAACAATTCACTTAGGGTATATTACACTAACAGTAGAAGTCTAAGAAATAAAATTAACGAATTAAATGCTCTTGTCTGCACAGAAAAAATAGATATTATTGCACTTACCGAAACGTGGATGAATGTAGAAAATAGAGAACTATTAGCTGAATATCAAATATATGGATTTAAACTATTTCACACAGATAGATATATTAGACGAGGAGGTGGAGTAGCCATATATGTTAGGGACAATTTGAAATGTAGTCTCAAAGAGGGAATCAAAACAGAGCCACACACAGAAACTATTTGGATTGAATTAAACGAAAAAGCTAATAATATTATAATAGGAGTAATATATAGGCCACCAATTTAGACAGAATGGAAGCAAAGCATCTATGGGATGAAATATCTAGAGCATCTAGATCTAACAGTATTTATGTCATGGGTGACTTTAATTTTAGCGGAATAAACTGGTTGAACAAAACAGGGAATAGTGAAGCAGAAGATTTTCTAGAATTAATTGACGATTGCTTTCTTACGCAACACATTAAGGAACCAACACGGGAAAATAATATTTTAGATTTAGTGTTAACTAACAGGGAAACGCAAATTAATGACATCGAAATAGGGAGTGAGCTAGGGAGCAGTGATCACAAAGAAATCAGATTTAGCATAGAATGGAATAGACCAGTAGGAGAAAATTCTGTTAAAGTGCCAGATTTTCGAAAAGCTGATTTTAATAGCCTAAGAAATTTTTTGGGTCAAATTGATTGGAAAGGCTTGGGTATGGGGTGTGGGCCGGTCTTGGAGCGAGACATGAACCCAGCGATAGGTGACTTAAATGGGGATTTCGATGTGGATTCAATATATAACTTATTTAAGAATATTCTAAACAAAGCACAGGAACGTAGTATACCATACAAATTGAATAGATCGTATACTAATGACCCAAAGTGGATAACAAAGAATTTGAAGAACCTTATAGGTAAAAAGAGAGCTTGGTACAAAAGGATTAAAAATGGGGAGGTCACTTTAGAACAGGAATTCGTACAACTGGTTAGAAATGTTAAAAAAGAGATAAGGAAAGCAAAAAGAAACTATGAAGTTCGCATAGCAGGGCAAGCAAAGACAAATCCTAAAGGGTTTTTTCAGTTATATCGTACTAAGACTAGGGAAAGGATAGGTCCATTAAAAACTGAGACAGGTCAAATAACAGATAGTGATGAAGAGATGAGTAGTATTTTTAATAAATATTTTGTATCTGTATTTACTAAAGAGGAACTTAACAATATGCCTTCAGCCGAACAAGTCTATGTGGGTGGGGACGAGGACAGGTTGACGAGTTTAGCAGTTACCAGGGAGGATGTTCTTAAACAAATAGTAAAACTCAAACCAAACAAATCCCCAGGGCCGGATGAAGTGTTTGCTAGGGTGCTTAAAGAATGCAAAGAGGAGCTTTGTGACCCACTGTCAACCATATTTAATAAATCAATAGAGTCAGGCAGAGTGCCAGAGTTTTGGAAAGTTGCTAATGTGATACCAGTTTTTAAGAAAGGAGATAGATCACTTGCGTCTAACTATCGACCAATTAGCCTAACGTCTATTGTGGGAAAGTTACTCGAATCTATAATAGCAAATAAAATTCGTCTTCATCTTGAAAAACATAAATTAATAATTGAGTCGCAACATGGTTTTATAAATGGCCGTTCATGTTTAACAAATTTGTTATCTTTTATTCTAGCATTGTTGAGGCAGTTGATAGTGGTAAGGATTGCGATGTTGTATACCTTGACTTTAGCAAAGCTTTTGATACAGTGCCACATGAAAGACTGATTAAAAAAATAGAGTCTCATGGTATTGGGGGTGCTATATTAAGCTGGATTAGGGCATGGCTATACCAAAGGAAACAGAGAGTTAGTATAAATGGAATCAAGTCAGAGTGGGAAAATGTTGTAAGTGGAGTGCCTCAAGGCTCTGTCCTGGGACCTCTGTTGTTTATAATATATATAAATGATTTAGATTCAGGTTTGAGTAGCAACATTTGCAAATTTGCCGATGATACGAAAATCGGTAGGGAAATTAATTCGGAGGAGGACTCACTATCACTTCAAGTTGATCTAGATAGGGTTTTGAAATGGTCAAAGGATTGGCAGATGCAGTTTAATGCTGATAAATGTAAAGTTCTGAGGTTAGGTAATGATGATAGAGTTACAAGATACGAGCTAGATGGTGTTGTGATTGCGAAGTCGGATTGCGAAAGGGATCTGGGAGTTATGATTAGTAAGAATTTAAAACAAAAGGATCAATGCATAAATGTTCGTAATAAGGCAAATCGGACACTTGGATTTATTAATCGCAGCGTTAGTAACAAGACACCTGGTGTGGTTCTCAAGCTATATCTTGCTCTAGTTAGGCCCCATTTAGATTATGCAGTTCAGTTTTGGTCGCCATATTATAGAATGGATATAAATTCACTTGAACGTGTCCAGCGTAGGATGACTAAGTTAATTCCCCAAATTAGAAATCTTTCATATGAAGAAAGATTAACAAAGCTTAAGTTGCATTCACTGGAAAGGCGAAGAGTTAGGGGTGACATGATAGAGGTTTACAAGTGGATGAATGGACATAACCGGGGGGATATTAATAGGGTATTAAAAGTATCAACACAG